TTCCAACCGCATAAGCTATATCGGGTCTAGTTTTATTCGCTATATACATCAAAGACCCAATCATCTGAGAATACTGGAGTTGACACACAGGTTCACCATTATTTTTAAGTAAGCACACACTTGATTCATATGGTGTCGAGACAGGATTGCAATTGAAAAAAAATTGAACTTCTTAAGCATTTTCTCAATTGAACTAGCTTTGTTTATAATAAAACCTACTTGTGTGCTTTCTACTTTCATTCCCAAAATAATATTGGCTTCTTCTAGATCTTTCATATCAAACCTCCTTGATAGATAAGACTTACATTTTTCACAATTTCCAGACTTGTTCCAAATAATAATATATCAACAACGTAAAGACATAAAATAACACATTGTCCATTGCATTCCTTATAGTAGACACACTTTTCATGATCATTAATTTCAAAATCATATTCTAAAATGACTTTATCAAACTTCTCATGCCATTCCATTGCTTTGGAGCTTGCTTGAGTCCATATAACGACTTAACCAACTTACACACTTTATGTTCTTGGCCTTTCACTATAAATCATTCGGGTTGCTCCATGTAAATTTCTTCATCTAGGTCTCCATTCAAAAATGTTGTTTTAACATCCATTTGATGAACTACTAAATTGTGTATAGAAACTAACGCTATAAGGATCCTAATTGTGGTAATCCTAGACATAGGAGAGTAAGTGTCAAAATAATCAATTCCTTTATTTTGAGTGAATCCCTTGGCAACTAGCCTAGCTTTGTACTTGCCTTTACTTTCATCAAGCTTCAGTTTCTTCCTAAATACCTACTTACAACCAATTGGTGTAGTACCTGATGGTAAATCCGTTAACTCCCAAGTGTTGTTTTGCAAAATAGACTCAACTTCACTATTTATAACTTCTTTCCAAATTGGAGCATTGATGAAGATCATGGCTTCTTTATATGTTGTCGGATCACCTACAATTAAAAAGGTATAAAAATCATCACCAAAGTTCTTCTCCACTCTAGGTCTCTTACTCCTTCTAAGTTCTGCTGAAGGCTCTTTTTCATTTGTAACTTGATGGCTAATACTTGTGGAAGCTTTGTCAGTATTAGTGCATGATCTATCTACCACTTGCCTTTGCATTCTAGTCTTGAAAGGAAATATGTCTTCAAAATATGTTGCATCCTTAGACTCTAATATAGTGTTATTCAAAAATTTCATTTATTTCAGAGTTGACTAGAAATCTATTGGCACTGCTATTATGAGCATAACCCAAGAAAACAGTATCCACAGTTTTAGGTCATATCTTCTTTCTCTTAGGTTCTGGGATTGCAGCTTTAGCCAAACACCCCCACACTTTCAAGACTTGAAGATTTGGAGTTCTCTTTTTCCAAATTTCATATGGAGTAGTAATGTTGTCTTTAATGATTACTCTATTTAATATAAAACATGCAGTCAAAATTGCTTCCCCCACAAATTTTCAGGTAATCCAGAACTCAAAAGCATTGCGTTCACCATGTCCAATAAGGTCCTATTCTTCTTTTTTACAACTCCATTAGATTGAGGAGAATAGGATGTTGTTACTTCATGTATAATACCATGCTCTTCACAGAAAACACTAAGATCAGTTAGAGTGTACTCACCACCTTTATCAGACCTAAGTCTCTTTATCCTTTTCTCTAATTGATTTTCCACTTCTATCTTGTAAATCTTAAATATAACAAATACTTCATCCTTAGTCTTTATCAAATAAATATTACTATACTTCAAACAATCATCTATAAATGTGACAAAATACTTATTACCAACTCTAGTAGGTGATATATTTGAGTCACAAACATCACTATGTATAAGCTCTAAAATTTGGGTATTCCTTTCAACGGACTTAAAAAGGTTTCTTGGGTTGCTTTGCTTGTACACAAATTTCACACTTGTGCTTGATATTCATGTTTGACTTGGGGACCAAGTTTAAATCCATCATTTTCTTAATTTTGAACAAGTTTACATGTCCCAACCATCCATGACAAACATTACTAGATTCAACATTGAGAACTTTTGGAAGAGTATAGCACTCGGAAGAAACTTAAATAATCCTTCACTAATAAAACCTTTTTCCAATAAATACACTATTCTTGGTTATTACAACCTTATTTGATTCCATTACAACTACATAGCCTTGCTTTACTAAACATGATCCAATAATTAAATTTCTTCTAATATCAGGTACATGTTGCACATCCTTCAAAGTTAAGATCTTTCCAGATGTCATCTTCAATTCTACGACTCTAATTCCAAGCACTTGAGACATTGAGTCATTCCCTAGAGTTACACGTCCGCCACCTGATTCCTAGAAGGTTTTGAAACACTCACGATCAAAACAGACATGTATATTAGCTCCAGAATCTACCCACCAATCTTTATTTTCATAATAAAATTGACAAAGTAATCATACTTAAAATGTTTTTGAAAAGATTGTTGCTCCATCAGCATATTCAATTGGGTTTTTGGACCACTATGATTTGACTTAGACTTGTTCTCCTCAATCTTCTTGTAGAAGCAATCCTTGGCCATATGGTTGGTCCTTTTGCAAACAAAGCAAACCCCTTTCTCTCTCCCTCGATCCTTAGTCTTCTGGAAGTTCTTATTTTGGCTGGGTGATTTGAACTTAAAATTTGTTCTTCTGGATTTGAAATTCTTTTTATTATTTTTGGTGAACTTGTTTTCGTTTTTGCCAATTTTGTTGGTGTCATTTTCAACTAAGTGCACAGTTGTTTGATTTTCGGTTTCCTTCTTTTGGCTTGACCTATGTTTCTCTTCGACCCTTATTGAATTCATGACTTGAACCAAAGTAAGTTCTCCTTGTTTATACCTTAGGGTTCTAGCAAGTCATTCCAAGATTGAGGGAATTTATCAATAAGGCAGGAGACTTTAAAGTCCTCATTGAACTTTGTTCCTTTCTTTTCAACTCTTCTTAATTGATCTTGATACTCATGTATTTGTTCCTTTCCTTGTGGGATCAGAAATCTTAGCCCATGGAATTCTAAAGTTATTGGGCCTTGACACGGCTTAACAATAAGTTTTTGTGGGTCAAACCCCACCTTCCCGCTATAGTTAATATTAAAATCCTCCTTATTAGTGGCAGACCCACATGCCTCCAAAGCCTTATCTTTATCCATATAGAGCCCACTTTTGTGACTAAAATCGCTTTTTGACCTATTAAAATAATACCCGTCTGTTGAAGACGTCCCTTCATCCTCCAAAACACGCTTTCCTTCTAGGGAATTACCCTTAACGTCTGTCAACTTTTCTACTCCTGACAACACACCTTGCTTTCTTCCAGACTTTGTAGAGACAGGAAATTCAAGCTCCCTAATCCGCCCACCATCTATCAACTAATCTCTTGATAGCACACATTGCTTTCTTCCAGAACCAATAGTGACAGGACATTCAAATTCCCTAATCTGAAAGCACACACGTGTCCCCACTGTAGGGCTTGACAATTGTTCCATAGTTGAAGTTTTCTTCGTTGGAGAGAATTCCGGTCACCCTCTGTGTCTTCAGCTCGGCCTTCATGGAACGTCGTGACATCTTAAAGTGACCTGAATCACCACAATCGGCTATCGAAACCTTAGGTCTCCTTGCTGGTGAGAGTTGTCTGATTTTAACCCTGAAAACAGAGTCTCCATCTGCCACGTTAACGAACTCTGGAATAAATCCAATGGTGTTGTGTTTGATTTTTAACTTTGCTTCAAGCAAATAATCAAAATCAGTTGTTTTGTGATCAATTTCTACCAAACCACCGCAGGCGTCACCGATCTTTTGAAAGAAGGCGTTGGTCTAAAGGTGCCGCGGTAAACCTTCCAGAGCAATCCATCTGCCGTAACTAACCACCTTCCTCTTGCCTCTTGCCTGATTTGATGCTTTCCCACCACCCAGACAACACCACATTTGGGAACTCGCTCATGGAAAGAGCACCAAGTTGAGCAATCTTTGTTGGTTCCTCCTTGTCCTAACAAACAAACAAAGCCTTACTGCATTGGAAGGGCGAAATGCAGATTTCCTTTCATAGGAGAATTAGAAGTGAGGCCTCCACCTCTCTCCAAGGCTGATGCATCACGTGTCTCTCACAAATGATTACACTCCCCCAGTTATAGATTTCCAGGAAGGTGTCTCTCTTGGTCCAGCTTTCCTTGACCCATGATTTCTCATTTACGTTTAGAAGTGGTGCCAAATTTGTTGACTTCTTGCCTCCAAGAACTGTTGAGAGTTGTCCCACATCCGTGAGAGACAAGGTTTATTATCTATTTATATGGTCTTGGGCTACTCCTTATATTACCAATTGATTTTATGGTAGAACCCCAATTTCATCATAGTATCAGAGCGGATTGTCCTCGGATGAAGTCAAATGTCCACACGCGCTCTATGTCACTCAGTTGTTGTCCACGTGCTTGAAAATCCACCACACGTGCGGAGGCGTGTTGAGAGTTGTCCTACATTGGGTTGCTTCCTATATTGTCAATTGGTTTTATGATAGAACCTCAATTTCATCATGGTATCAGAGCGGGTTGTCCTCGTGTGAAGCCAAATGGCCACACGCGTTCCACGTCACCTAGTTGTTGTCCACGTGTAGGCTTGAAAATCTGCCACACGTGCGGGGGCGTGTTGAGAGTTGTCCCACATCGGTGAGAGACAAGGTTTGGGTTGTCCTCGTGTGAAGCCAAATGGCCACACGCGTTCCACGTCACCTAGTTGTTGTCCACGTGTAAGCTTGAAAATCTGCCACACGTGCGGGAACGTGTTGAGAGTTGTCCCATATCGGTGAGAGACAAGGTTTGCTATGCAGTTATATGATCTTGGGCTACCCCTCATATTGCTAATTAGTTTTACAGTGGAATCCCAATTTCACCGAGAACTGCATCTCCATAATAAACCTGAGGAACAACGACCGAGTGGCTTCTCGAGGACTCAATTACATCCCTCCTCACATTCCTTTTTGACTGAGATAGAGGGAAACCCCCGCTTTCTTTCCCCCTCTCAGAATTTCAGACAGTAACTCCTCCATTCTTCTCCAGCTGAAGAAATTACTTCCTTTGGGAACGATGATATTCCTGACAAGCCCATCACTCTCTGTTTTGGACAGAACAAGGAAAATCCCGGTCTTCTTGTTGAATCTTTCGACCCAAAACTGGTAACTACCTTATCTTCATTTGTAAGTCAACAACCGATGTAAGAGAATCGGATGTTAAGCATACCTAGGATTAGGATATGCATATTCTTTTATATTCCTTCTGTTGACTGACTTAAGATTCGTGAGACTTGGCCTTTTGGAATTCATTTGTATTAATGAGTTTGTTTTTTTTTTTTTGCATTAGCTTTCTTAAAGAGTACAAATTTGATATCTCAAAACTGGAGCCATTGGCGGCAAAGGTGAGCAGCGCATAGATTGGTTTCTTATAGATTAATCTCCCTGTAGATATTCAATGATTGCTAAGTTTGCCTCTCTTCGACGGCTAATTTATAAATAAATAAAAAATAAAAAATAAATTGTGTTCCAGCCTCATTCTCCAGATAATCGTGCTTTAGCAAGAGATGCAAAGATGTGAAAATTGACAGAGTATTTATCGGTTCTTGTACTGGTGGAAAAACAGAGGATTTTATGGCTGCAGCCAGAGTTTTTCTAGCATCGGTAAGGAGTCAAATCTCTGTCACATTAGTTTTGGGATATTGTTTACATATGCTGACTTCATTAGAAATTTGAAAGTTTTTTTTTTTTGGAAATTCTCTTTTCTTGGTTTAAGCTTAAAGATTTAATTCCTTTGCTGCAGGGGAAAAAGGTCAAAGTTCCCACATTTCTTGTGCCTGCTACCCAAAGGGTTTGTTAAGCTACAGAATTAAGTGCTTATGTGGCAGCATCCGTGGATATAAATTTATCAAGCCATTTATGAAATGCATGATAAATGAAATCTTGTTTTTTGAATATTCTTAAATTTGTAGGTTTGGACGGACGTGTATAGTCTCCCAGTACCAGGGTCTGGTGGCAAGACTTGCTCTCAGATATTTGAGGAAGCTGAATGCGACACACCTGCAAGTCCCAGTTGCGGTGCTCGCCTGGGTGGTCCGAAAGACACGTATGCTCGCTTAAATGAGCCTCAGGCAAGTACATCCTTTTCTGCAATACATCCACAAGGATCTAATGTGCTCTCATGTCTTGGGGCAGCTGGACCTCATGCATTGTTGCATTTCACTATATCATTGTCTTCGATAGAATTAGGACCGACTTCCCTGCCTTTGGGGGTTTCATAACCCCATTTGCAGATAACCTTGTTGCAAGGAGAACATCTTGGTTTTTATTTCAATTGTATTGAAAATAAATACCGGTAGATTATTAACCATCTTGTCTTTGCAGGTATGCGTCTCAACAACAAACAGGAACTTCCCAGGCCGAATGGGTCACAAGGAAGGCCAGATATATCTCGCTTCCCCCTATACGGCTGCTGCGTCTGCTTTGACTGGTTACGTCACCGACCCGAGAGAGTTTTTGCAGTAGGCAGTTCTATCATTACAATCTGATCAGTGTATGTCATCTTTATATTCTGCAACTAAATGTTGTTAGATAGCAGAGATTACGGAATAATGGGTGTAACATCCATCCTGCAAGGTTTTGTCTTGTATATGTCGGGTAGCTGCCGTACGTATTGTATGTGTGATCGTTAGAGCATGTTAGAATGTATTTAAAATCATGATTTTATTTTAGGAAATTCTTGCATACAACTAGGCTAAATCCTTGAGCAAATTCTTTGAAATTCTGAACTATGTGAAGGGATTTTGAACTTGAGTGCAAAAGGGAGGAAGGCACTGCTCTAATCAATTTGACTACGTTCCAAGTCTGTGACGACTTGAGTAAATTGAATGCGGTCAAAACCCTCATAAAGTGATTGCGTCATTCCGCACTAATAATGTGAAGCCATATGTCTTAACTTTTTTACATGACACATTATTCGCACTAATAATGTGAAGCCATATATGTCTTCACTTTTTTACATGACCCATTATTAACGTAGGACGATATGGTATCTTTGAGAAGTCTTTCCCTAGTGAAATGAATTGTGTCCCAAGCAACGGATTACTCTAAGTCAAGAAGTTTCCCTCCAAACAAGGGACTTGTGGAAAGGGCACCTTGTCCCTCCAAAAACAGGTCAAAAGACCAAATCAGAGAGTTTGTAGAAGTAGAACTACTACAGCTTTACCACAAAGGCCAGACCAGTTAGGATTATGACAGTATTGACCCCAAGAAAACAGAAAAATAATTATGACGATCAGAAGATTGGGGTCCCTCCTCCGTTGTCATTTGTACCAGTTTGCAGTTGTAGAGCAGGTAATTGAGTTTTTTTACCATGGAGCCGGATCCCTTCTGGATGATTTGGAACTGAGCCCACTCATCAAATGATCCGAACCATTAAAATTTGATCCAACCATTACAATTATTATCGTTTTAAAAAGATCCTTGTTTGTAGCTGTTGGATCAAATTTCAATGATCCGGATCATTTTATGAGTAAGCTCAGTTCCAAATGATTCGAAGGGGATCCGGTTCCTTTTACCAGATTCAAAATTCAAGTTAAAACTAGGGGCAAAAGCACAGTAAATAAAAAGAAAGTAAAAAAATGCTGATTAACCAAAACAACCGAAATAAATAATTAAAAAATAATAAAACCAGACAAGCTTCTTTTGCAGCAAAACTCAGCACTCTCCTCTCTAGATATGAAGTGAAACGCTCCCATATTTACAGTACGAGAAGGCAGCAGCAGCATGTAGCGGAATATGCAGGCCTGTATGCTAGCACTATGTAACAGCCTGTGGAAGCCGATCTTCGCACTCTGTCTCATTGAATTTCTACTTCTTTCTGTTATCAAACTGTAGGTTTCCTTCATTCGTCTTACCAGACTTAAAAATAATGCGCAGCAGTGCCTTTTCTAGATAGGTTTGTTTCTTTGTCTCTCGCTCCTTTCTTGAAATCTTGGCGCTGCAAATAAATATGATTAATCGGCCTTAGACAGAGACCTTCATAATCTCATAGGAGTCCAAAACACCGGCAACTGAAACTTGGAGGGCAAAATGTAAGCTTGATGGTTTCAAATTTACGTACCAAGACCATTAGCCTCAGATGTCCTCATGATCCGAAGCCTTTTCACTGAGCCGAGGAACATCCTGAAATGCCACAAAAATTGCAAACATACTTATTAATAACAACTCAGGCGATATCAATTATATATGAAGTACATTGCTCCACGTACAATCACAATCCCTACATCTTTATGTTATTAGGTTTTCCATGCTCTTCCTTTTAACAAAACTAATATTAGTGGTAGTAGCAGCATACCCCCAAGGAACATCTCCAACAAGCATCCAATCTCCCTCTTTATCTTCATATGTGAGCACAAATTCGGAGGATCCGTCCAGAAGCTTCGAGGGTTTCTTTGCTTGTTCCGTGTCTCCACCTAACATGAGCACAAAATTATTGTCACACACGGGGAACAAATTGGCCAAGTCAAACGGGCCATGATTGAATACCAACTATACGTCCTAATCGGAACTCATAAGCTTATAAAGTAATTAATTGAGCAACAAATGAGGTCCTCTATCAAATTTTTCCAAAGGCAAAGGAAGACAACTAACCAATAGTTGTAGTGGGGCTGATAAACATTTCCTCGAGTGTTTGAGCCAAAGTCTCATAGCAAGAGTGAGCATTCAAATCCACCTTCCTCCCGATTGGAATTCCATCCATGTTCACCTTCACAAATCCGAGATGCCCCTTCTCTTTCACAGTTGTCTTACTACCGACATTGATCTTCTTCTTCGAAGTGTCCTTCGATTTCTCTCCAACGGCCGTATCATCTTCAGCCCTTGCAGTCTTTGCTTGGTTAACCAAACTGTTCATCCTCGCAGCACTTATAGGTGGCCATCCCACAACCTGACTGCTTTCAGAATACAATATACAAAAATCAACGATCCAAAACATGCAGGAATTCCAAAAATACGGAAACAGAGTATTCATATTATTTCTCAGAGTAACAATACATTCAAGTATTCAACATGGTATTAATTAGTATTACAATGTAATGGATATTAAAAACATAAAACAATTAATTTAAAACAATTAAACTTTTTTTTGAATTATCAAAGATTCAAAACATATATCAGACTAAAGACAATTAATCATTTAAATAAAAAGAAACCGAAAATACTTGAACAATTATTTAATCTTTTCTTAAGGGGGCATAACATAAACCACTACTTGGGGTTTTCTAAACTTTACTGTTTTCCTGGACCGGACACAAACCGTGCATAATTGAATTTCTCACTTTCCATCAGTTTTCTCAACTTTGTGAAAATTCTCTCACCTTACAGCAGTGGGAGAGCCACCCTCTTGAGGAGCAGAGTCAGCAGCTCTCTTAGTCCCAGAAACAGCAACAGCAGCAGAAGCATTGGGTCTGTGAGAGAACCTAGAAGCAGCTGAAGAGGCGCCGTGAGAGACCACCATGGAAGGAAAGTCCTTGGCAGTCAAGATTCTACCACGCTCACCCCATGCACATGGGTTGCTGAGCTTCCCTCCGCCACCAAGGCTGAGGCCCAGCTCAAGCTCTGCCTCAGCAGGGTAAGAGGTTGCCTCGGAGGACATCCCCACATAGTCTTGCTCCACCGCCACCACCTCCGCCTTTGACATTGTAGACTCGTTCGATGAGACCCCAGAAGACCCACCTCCACCACCAAGCAACCCAAGTGTGGCTTCCATCAAGCTGATCAAGAGAGAGAGAGGGTTGAAGAAATTGTGGGTTTCACAGAGAGAGAGAGAGAGAGAGGATGTGGGATTTTGTTTGTTTGTTTGTTTGTTATGACTTATGAGCGTCAAATAGAATCGAACGGACCACAAGGGAGGGAGGACTGAGGAGGAGCAGGGGAAGGCAAAAGCAGAGGAAAGGGGAGGGTGGGGGAGCAGGAGGGTGGGAAGGGGTAGGCGGTGGAGAGAGTGATGATGATGGGGTCCATGTGTCTGCTGGTGCGCCTTGCACCATCACCAGTCACTACCCACCCTCATTTTTTTAATAGACATGATTCGTATCTTTCAAGGATCTGTTTCTCTGTGTTGGGTCTTACTGTTGTTACTAAAACAAACAAAATTGGTTATTTGGCTAGAAAATGATGTTCTCCGAATTCCTTCCACTTAATCTTTATGATTTATAAATCTGAATTGTTGAATTTGATTAAATGGATAAATTTATTATGATTTTAAATGGAATCTCATGTTTGTAACCGTTGAATCGAATTTCAAAGATTCGAATTTATGGGTCATGAGTCTTAGGTGAAGGGGATACGAGAGGATCCCTTTCCATGAGGCCAATTGATTATGACTTATTTTTTTTCTTTTTTTTCATCAGTGTTTGAAAGAATTTTGTGTGCACTAAAACTATTGAAATAAACAATATTATTTACATTAAGAAAAATTAGAGGGAATTTAGCCTCACAATAGGATAGTAATAATATGATTCAAATTCGCATTTGACGATAATCAAACTTAAGACCTCTCACTTACAAGTAAATAAGAATATCACTAGACTGTAGTAATAAGTGACAAGACTTAATGTATTAATATATGCTATAAAATTGATAGGGTACAAAGTTAATATATCTTACTTTTATAATATTGTAATAAAAAAAGGTTTTTTTAATTAAAATGATCATTAAAATTAACATAATTCCTCACTTTAGTATCTGACAATTAAAATCGATAGAAGTGGTCTATAAAATTGTCTAGCGTAAAATAGTTTGGTTCTTCCGGGAAAAATATGTCAATATTTTTGCAATAAAGTAGGGTTGAGATGGAGAATCAAAAATATAAAATTTTATGTTGGGTTCTTTGCGTTTCTCTAATTACAAAGATTATGTTTTGCTTTCATGCTCATTTATGTGGTATGATAAGGTTTAGAAGAAGAAAAAAATGAATTAATGAAGATAATTAAAACAAGTGTGGTGGTATAATATGATGAAAAGGATGGAAATGATACAAGTTGCTTGCAAGTATGATGGTATTTTCAACTTTTTGGTCTTGGTATGATGGTTAATGATAATATTAAACTTTGGCTTGTCGGACCTTTTAGCTTGGACAATGAGGAAAAAAGGGATTTTAGTTCTGTATACAGAAAAATTATGCTGGTAATAGTGCTAGTTCTTGGGATGTCAGATTTGCATTTTTTTTCTTTTTCTTTGTTTTTTTTTTGGGGTAAAATTTGTTTTTCTTAATTAAGTATTTTTATTAGCAACATAGCCCTCTCCCACCAGTTTTCTTTGTTTTTTTATTTAATTTCAACCAAATAATGTTTGCGTTTTGATCAACTGGAAATTCTTTACATAATAGTATTACAATTGAACAAAGGACTCACGCAAAAGTTATGTCAATAGTAAAAATCAAAATCATCGTAAATATAATAATATTTATGTTTATGTGAGTTGAACATAATACTTAAGTAAATGCTTTCTAACTAGCTTTTTATGTGGTGATATTTATCTCCCAATGTTATAGAATGTCTCAAGTTTGACTTTCCATTTTCTAGTTGATAGATTATTTTTTCATCTCATTGTGGTTTTTGTTTTGTCAAACAATATTACAGGGGAAGCGAGGGGGATATTTGAACACAAAACCTCAAATGTAAAGAAAAACGCTTATAATGAATTGAGACACAAATCCGTTTGCTGTTTC